AATATTTTGACATAAATTTAAAGTATTTAGCATAAAATCTTACTATTATGCACTCTTTGTTTATATACAACTCCAGATATTATTATTACTATTATTATTTTCATATCAAATTGAAATTGATGCATTACATAATACAGTGGTACCTCGGAACTCTAATGCTCTAAAAGTTAAATAACTTGGAAACTAAACAGTTACTTCAAGGAAATTTTGCTCCAAAAGTAGAACACAAACAAGGACAGCCATACTACATGATATATGATATCTATGCAGGTACACATCATGCAGCATTGTTGTCAGATTGAGTTAATTTTATTTTTGGGTTACAAATGAAACAATGAAAATCTGTTACTTTTCTAAATCCATTGATATGAGTTTTGGATGCGCATTGAATGAGTTCAGCTGTGATACAGTTTATTTTACTGCATTATTTACTTTTTTTATTGTTTTTAATTTATTATTATTATTTTCATCATTTTATGCATTAATTAGAGCATTTATTTTGTGTTATTTTAGCTTAAATTATGGGTTTTTTTAGAATTAAAATGGGGATTTTTGGAGTTTGGAAACAGATTAATTTACTTTATTTCTTAAAAGAAAAATTGCTTTGGAACTCAAATGCCCTATAGAAAGAAATTGAATTCAGGTTATGAGTTAACACATTACTAAAATTTTAAGATGCTTGGTGCAAACATTCTGTACTTAAAACAATACATTTTTCTCTCCTCATGTTGTCATATTATTTTCTAAGATCTTTTTTTTTTTTTTTACATAAACAGTACTACAGGTTATCACATGACTTTATTGAATAGTTGGAAAAATTTTGTCTTGATACTGGAAAAATAGTTATGGTATAATTCAGTTTTTTCTTAAAATGAATAATTGATCATTACTATTAATCAGTTTGTTGATCTTTGCTATCTGCTATTTGTTTAACATTATCAATGTCATTTAGGTGGTTGAGCATGATTTTTAATTTTTCATTTAATATGATTACACACTTTACATATATTTCAGACATTCAAAACATTTTAAAAATAATCTAAAATGAGGATTTATTATTAAAATGTGGTGATAAAAGTCAGTATGGTTAATGTTTCCAGTTAGTTTTTGCAGAAAAATGTAGATGTATATGAATTTCAGATGTATTTGAATTATCTAAATTTACTTACACCTATCATTTCTAGTTGGTGGATGTTTTAATAATTAACAGTTACATGATAAAAATTAATGTAAAGATTGCAGATATTAAAGAGAAAATTTAATGATTTTATGATTTAAAAGAATTTTAACACCTTTGGTTAAAAATTTTTCTTATATTCACTATAGTACTAAATAGCAGTATAAAATTTATTATAATTGTATTTTAAATTTTAGAAGGAGTAGAAGGTTTGACAGCTGGAGTAGTAGAATTAGGTCAGAGAACACTTTCTTCCAATTTGATGCCTACAGAGGTATATATAAATAATTTAGTATAAAGAAGTTCCATTATTTACTAAATATAATTAAAATTTAACTTGATTCTAGGTTTTTAATGGAGAAAATTCAATGAGTGCTGGAGATATTAATCAAGCATGGTTTACAAGCCGTGAAGATAAAAATAGCCTTCATAATAGAGGTAAGCAGAATGTAGCTGATGTTTAGAAATTAAAATTTTATTAAAATAAATTACATTTTCTGATTATTTTTATTATTTAATTTTAAAATTAATTCATTTATCAAAAATTATTTAAAACATAAAAAGTGATAAATGAAAATATCCTTCTGTGATTATTCATTTTTTGCATGATGATGATCATATATCGATTTAATTATGAATAATATTAGAGATTCTGTATATTTTTTATTTTAACTGAGTTATTTGTTTGGATTTTATTACATACAACATTAGGCCTGGATTCATGAAAGTATCGTATTTCAACTTAGGATGAATGTTTGTCATAAGTTGTGATATGAGAAAATTTGGTGTTCACAAAACTTGTCATGACCAAAAATGTTGTAAATAGGCATTATATATGACATAGGGTGGATTGTCATAAGTCAAAACAATTCAAGTTGATCACTGAATACTTAGCTTTCTCGATTGACAAATTACTCAGTTTATTGAAAAGTTATTGTTTACCATGTCTGTCACTCAAAGACATTTTGTTAACAGAATTAATTTGATACTATAATATAGAGGGAAATGATTTTTAGTTTAATTGAAGAACTGAAATCTCATTTGGAAAGACATACACATCATGTACTGTATAGCATGCTAGTCTCTTAATCATGTTAAAATTATAAATAGAATTGTTATAATCAATCGTATAGAAATTTTACTAGTTTTTTTTTTTTTTAAATGCTTTTGTAATCGTTCTTCATTTATGTTGAATTTCATCTAAGCAGCTACATACATTACTAACACTATTCACTTCTTTGAAAATTAGGTTTAATCTCCAACAATTACCTTTTCTGTGAGAAGTGACAATTGAATCTATCATCCCTTCTATTATTATTATTATTATTTTTTTTCTCACTGCCATCTATCAATGCCTATATTTTGGAATAAGTGAAATGATGCTTTTTTCTCTTCTCTTTTATTGCTGAAACTCATATCAGAGACAACTTGCACCATTTAAAAGTTTTCAGACTATATTTTATTGGATGAAACAGTATACTTTTGAAATCCGATCACTGATATTTTGTCATGAAAAGTAAATCAGATTATGATGAGTATCATGATTTTCAGATACAATGTCATAAATTTGTCATATTTAACAATGTCATGAGAATATGATGTAACTAGCAAAACTTTTGTGAATCTGGGTCTTAATTTTTTGTAATTGATTCTACCTGTACAATTATATATATATATATATATATATATTTTATTTGTTCGTCTGTTGTTTTTGTTATTACTTATTTTTATTTCTGTTTCTCAATATATTTTTTTTTTCAAGATGTTATTTCTATTTTTATGAATATATATGAAAACTTTGATTTATGGGATTTACATATCAATCATATTGATAGAATACTTTATCTAGGATATTAAATGCTGCTTTAAATGAATGATACAAAATTTTACTGTATAATTCAATAAAATTACAAATTATACTAGTGTTTAAATGAAATTTTTGGAAAAGTTAAAATTTTTAATGAAATAAGCTTAGAAATTCTTTTCATATTCAAAAATTATGTTGCATTAGAATATTTTAAAATAATATTTGCATGTATAAATAAACGAATGATCAGAATTATTTTTTACATTGATATGGAGAAAATAATAATGGTTTTGAAAAAATACACTGGACAACAAAAAAAATAATGTACCATGAAGGACTTGTTGGATTTGAATAAAAATTGGTATGTGACATCGTCATAGCTAGACAGGTATATGATTGCAACCATAAAGCAAAAACGTACTTTATTGTGCAGTAATGTGCAATACAGTGCAGGTGCTAATATCCCGTTGGGCCACCTCTAGTGCGGATACAAGCTGTGATATGCCTCAGCATGGAGGCATAAAGGTTGCGTATAATGTTCTGCGGCATATCTGTCCATGCGTGATGCAACTGGGACTCAAGATGCATCAGATCCTGTGGCTGTCACAGCTGGCGTCCCAGGTGGTCCCACACATGTTCGATTAACGATAAATCTGGAGACCGTGCAAGCCAAGGAAGTGTGGCAACGTTACATAGGCATGCTTGGGAGACTGCTGTGCTGTGTGGCCAGGCATTATCCTGCTGGAATATGCCTGTCGGAAGCCCTGCCATGAGGGGCAACACATGTGGCTGGAGGATGTATTGCACATATCATTGGGCAGTGAGGGTAGTACACATGACAACTAGAGGTGTCCTACTGTCGTATGTTATTGCTCCCGACATCATAATACTGTTGGGCTCATGTGCCGCTCCACAGTATAGGCCGGGCTGACGCCTTGACCAGCGGGCTACCATACCCTCACACGGCCATCATGAGCCCCCAAACAAAAGCGGGATTCATCACTGAAGACAATATACTGCCAGTCAGTAGCTGTCCATAGTTGTTGCACAACATCACTGCAGACGGAGGCATTGGTGTGTGGCTGTTAACGGTAGAACACATACTGGGCATCAAGAGACCAATCCGCCTTCTACTAAGTGCCTGGAAATGGTGCGGCTGGATACATGGTTCCGTAATGCAGGTGCCACCGCTGCATGAATGGTAGATGATAAAGTTGTAGGCGCTATCTGTGCTTGACGTACAATGAGACGATCCTCTCTCCTGGTGGTCTGTGGTTTGCCATTCATGCGTACTTCTACGTACGCACTGCTCATAACACATCCTAACAGTTCCATCAGAACGGTTCAGATGGCGGCCAATCCGGCGGTATGACCATCCTCCTCTTAATCCAACAATACGACCTCTCTCAAACTCACTTAACTGAACAAACTCACTCAACAAAGTCACAATCATCAACACAAAACGCAGGACATATGCACAAGTCATCACAGCGTGCACCTTTATACCAGACAGAGGAAGCACTTTTCTTTCCTATTGTGGCGATATGACACAAGAAACTGTTCCCAAAAGCATATTTAGCTATGATGATGCAACATACCAATTTTTATTCAAATCCAACAAGTCCTTCATGGTGTGTTATTTTTTTGTCATCCAGTGTATATTAGATGTTTTCTAAAATAAAACAAGAAACATTTGCAAGCAGAACTGTGAATGCCATATGATCCTATCTTGTTCTTGTTTAAGTCCAAAATACTGCTTTATCAACTCTTGCTTTAGAAAATTTATTTTAAAATTTTGTTGGATCTGCTATATTAACTTAAAGGAAATAAATTGATGAATAATGCTGGCAAATCTATCTTTTTCCTTGATGTCCAATATTTGCCTTTTTTACTTACCCAGCTGTTACAACAGAGAGAAAGTACGGCAATTTAGCAACAAACGACCCTCCAGATTTTTACATTTTTTGGACTTAGGATACCTTGAAACATTGAAAAATGAAAAAAATTTGGGGATAATTTCTGTATGTATGAATGTTTGTGTGTGGGAGGGCATGATTTTGTTTACTTTGTTTGAAGCTTAATAACTTCTGTGCTTTTTGTTGAAAATTTCTGAAATTTTGCTGGGAGGTTTGTTTATTAGGGGGATTGATGTTATTAAATTTTGGTAGTAAAAGGTTGATGGGATGGGGAGATAATGGGGGTCATCTGGGTCGGACTTAATGGCAATTTTACACATTATTAGCACTTACAATTTTTTTATAAAACTCATTCCTACCCTCAAAATTAAAATTTTTGCTGTTTTATAATAGTTAAAAATATAGAAAGTTTTTTAATGAAATATGATAACAGATATTTAATATTAATATAAAATTTATAATCAGGAAAACTTCTGAATCTTCTAAATTTTTTATATCTGTATGGAATGAGCAAATTCATTGAAGTAATTACTGACACAAATCTTCTATTCTGAATACCCGTATTTTGAACAATCTCGTACTCACTTAACCTTTATTGTCCAGTACTGCTTAACCATTCATAAAAGAAACGTTTTTGGCCTCAGTCAAGGTCTGCTTCAGGTTAAAAGAACAATTGAATTTCATTCTTAGAATGAACATTTAGTTTTTAAACTATATGCGAACTTATACGTGTGTTACGTATCATCATTATTTTCTTCGCATAAGTAGCGCCAAGCATAGGAAAGAGCATTGCTGTCTTTGGTGTTTATACTTCTCCCTGTCTAGCCAGCTCTCTATGTGAGGCCAGCCGATTAGGGGTGAGGTGTTTTCGACAGCCGAGCGGTTAATTCTGTCGTGTGGGTGCGGAATGACTCACCGAGACAGGTTTGCCATATATAACCGTTTAATAATATACATAAATCGTTCTTACAACAATCTAATGCAGGCAAGAGCTTATCCCACGATGGGTTTCTGTCACAGTTCCTAAAAATTGGATAGTTTGAATGTTTGATTGGTCCCTGGGGAGCTTTCAGCACTGTGGACGCAGAGAACGATGGCTCCGGGGCATGCACCAACACTTGTAGTGATGTCCTCGGTTGACAAGTCGAACCTCGGCGATTCTGGACGTGACCTTGGCAATCCTAGAGTGGACGGGTTGGCGAAACCAGTTCCTAGGTCGTCGGAAGAGCCCTCATTGCGTCTCAGTCGGGAGCACCAAATCCCGACAGGTGAGCTCTACACAACAAAACCAAAGACTCTGTAAAGTTCCCGAAAATGCGGTTTTATCGATTTTTCCACCGCGGTCGCCTCTCCATTGGTCTCTCCTTGTCACATGGTGACAATTCGAAACTCCAGGCAGGGCGCGGGAGAGTTCAACGTCGCGTCGGAACACGACTCCTCTCCAACCTCGTTTTCTTCGACTTTACTCTATCTATTGTTTAAAATCTTTTAACAAGACAAAAGGTTCATTGTTTAAATTCGATCTTTAAGTTCGCTCTTTCGCACTACGAAACTTGACTCATTTAAAAAGTTGTTAATGGCCTGCTTTCGGACCCCGTTTGGGTCCTCACATCTATATTTCCAGGGCTTCAAGGGCTCTGATGTGGTCCATATGAAAAGCTCTATTTATTAATCTGGTGTTGGATAGTTCTGCATAAATATCCGGGTCGGTGGCATAGGTTTTATGAATTGGTAAGCAGTTCCAGACAATAAAGGTTAAATGAGTATGAGATTAGTAATTACTGAATACTGGATATCAAACAAATCAAAAACAAAAAGAAGAATTATTCTGATGAGATTATAAATTTGACATAGTCAACTTGTGCATTTCTATTGGTTATTTTTTCCATTTAGTAAATATATAGTTACATTTTGTGAATCTGTTTTAAGTATAAAACATTTTTTATATTGTCTTTTATAAAATTATGCCAGAAATAGCATTTTAAAAATATCAATATAGAAATAAAGACCATTTTAAAAGAGGCTCCCTCTTAGCTTTTTAGCTTAAAAGCTATCTCTGTATAGAAATCTGTAATTTACTCTTCATTAGCAAGAAAAATATCCACAAATATAAATCAGCATGCTGCAGGTAGCTTTTAACAAATCTAATATGCTGGCAATATACTGCGCAGTAGCTTGTTCTTTATCTTCATGTCTTGTTCTTATATTTATCTTTTTACTGATGTCTGATGCAATTTAATCTAATAGTTGTTTTTTGACACAAGATTCTATTTATTTTTATATACATTTAATATATTTTGTATGATCATAATATTTGTCCAAAATGTTTAAATTTTCAAAGTACGTGGAAATACTGTTGTCTTTTTAGACAACTTTCAAAAATTTTTTAATGGATTAATTGTAAAATAAAATAATAAATATTAAATATAAATGATAAATATTAGTTGTAGCTATTAGTATTATAAAATTGTATACATATAAAAATGAATGTTGGTTTTATAAAATAAAATTTTTAAACAAGTTACACATACTATACATTTAATAAATTTTAAAAAATAATTTAGACAATAAAAAATTGATTTGCTTTTAATAATTAACTTTGTATGATGTAGTTCAGGAATTGTGAACCTTTTTGAGCCTGCATGCACAGAGTAATGCATACTTATCTTTAAAAATGTTTACATGTGATGAAGTTTTAGATTTCAAATAACAATTTTTAAATAAATGAAAAATTATGCTTTAATTAGAGCAAATGTAAAGAACCTGATTGAAAAAAAAATGATTAGGTAATAAACTGAAAGGATGATTGAAAAAAATAGGCGATAAACTGAAATTGCATATGTTGTACACCAGATCATGTTTCTCAACATGTCACTAGTTGATATTTATGTTGTAATGAAAACCATTAAATATCTATTAATTGATATTATTTTCTATATATATTTATTTTATTATTTGAATAGATATAATATATTTTTTTAAATTTTGTTTAAATATTTTAGAATTTATGAAATATTGTTTTTCAAAATGTTCAAAAATAATTTTGAGTAAAAATATTCTGCATTTTATTTTAAATAATAATAATTAAGATTTCTTAACAAATAATAATATATGTTTTATTAGAGTTAATGGTTAATTCAATTACCTGATAGGAATACTTTAAGATATAAATTATTTAAGTTTAAAGTATATTTTTTTTAGTACTAAAACAAAGTAGATGTAGCCATTTTTGAGCCTTTATAATATACTACATCTTGAAGGTTTTATAACATTAGCATTGTTCTGTGTCTAATGTACCCAGAACCTTCCAATACAGGTCATATGTGGAAACAAGGAATGTGGTCCAAAGATGAAATAGAAGTACTGGAGAATAATATTAGACATTATTGTGAGGTTAGTCATAATATTTTTTTAATATAAATTTGTATGCTAATTGAATTTATATAAAATTGACTTATTTGATGTAGTCAATCATTTCTTCTATTCAGAGTTCACTTCAGTCTTCTTGCAAATATTTCTTTGCCAGTAATATCAAGTTTTGAAGTGATGCTTTTAATGATATATGTTTGCAAAAGCAATTGATAATATAAACATTTGAATAAAATTTCATTCAATTGTTTAAAACTTAATTTTGTAATTAACTACAGAGTAATTATTAATAGTATCTAATAAATTTGCCCATTTAAATTACATTAAGTATATAAATGAACTAAAGTAGGACTATGTTAAAGGGCAATCTGGTTTTTGTCTAATATTCAATTGAGTACTTCTTTCTTGTCTTTTGCTAGTAAATCAAAGCTGGAATAGAACTCTGTCAATATATTGAACATCTGTGTTCAAAGAGCTTTATAATGCATTAAAAATTTAAGTAATTTCATTGTTATGAATAACCTTTCTTATATAAAGACTCATTAATGACAGGAAGATAATTGTATTGTATATTTTCTTATAGTGTGATGTTAGATCTAACACAATTATTGCATCTCAGATCTATGAGCTAAAAGCTTTTAAGTTTTTAATGCTTAACAGATTGTATACTAAATAATTTAATCATTGTGTATCATTATTGTTACTAAAATAAAACATTTTACTGTCCAAATTGATAATTTGATTATAAACAAAATATGAAAACCTCTAGTAGTTTGATTAATATAAACAATATATTTAACTAATTTTTTGAAGATCAAGAATTTACTAAATTAGCATGTATATAATTTATGATAAATGGAAAGGAAGCAAACAATGGCATCCCAATTATCCAACTAAATAGGACTGACAGATACCGTACGTTTCTATATTCAACAGTTGACTCAACGGTGAGAGAACAACGTTTCTAAATGGACTGTTGAGTTCTCTGTTGAGACTAGTGACGTCAGCGCTGTTTCACCGTTGAGCTCAACAGTCTCAACGACCTGAAAGACCGTTGAGTATTCAACAAACTAACATGGTGGCTTCCATGAAAAAGTAAATTTCGCTTATAGAAACTATCCATTCGCTGCTGTGGATGCTGTAATAGTGAACAGATTAATGAACAATCTGTATATGATAAAACATGTGATTGCATGATTATGTTGGATAATTTGGTCAATATTGAAATACTGTATTAAGATTTTTTTCATTTGTCCAAAATTGATTACGACCGATATTTGGCCCTCTAAGTCTTCCTAATGATATAAATATTCAAGAAATTAATTAAAATTATTAAAGAAAGACCAAGTACACAAGATAATGATACAGATATGGGTTCATTTGGATAAAAGGATTTATTCGAATAATGGTTAAGCGAGTTACTTTAATTATTTAGCAAAACAGTCACAATCGCCACCTTCTCGTTACTTAAGTCAGCCATCTTGAAAAGCGACCTCTCAACGAAAGTGTTTATTTTTTCTGCAAAACATGACGTCAGATTGTTCAACGGAGGGACTCAACGGAAAATTCACTGTTGAGTCAACCGTTGAATATAGAAACGTATGGATAGTCAAATTAGCAAAGATGATAGTATTTCTGCTAATCTGACCACCTGTCCTATATAGAATTTTAATATGGAGATGAATAAGAGAAAATTTGAAACAAATTTCAAATTTAACAGAAGTCTGGTATAAATGTGAAATTGGATTTTGTTAATAATTATTTAATTGAAAGAATCACTTTTTTCCAATTTGTTACTGAAATAAAATTTATAATAAAAGAAAATAAAGGAATATAAAAGAATATAAAGGAATAATAAAGGAAAATATGATTGGAAAAATAAACTAATAATTACAATACATACTATATAACAAATTATTCTTGCAGTTGAGCAAACTTGATATTATAACAGTGATCATATATGACATACTGATAGATAAAGTAACAGTGGGAATGAACAAAATAGTGTACATGCTCACAAAGCTCAATATAAAATATGCTATGTTGGATAAAGCAGAATTTTGGATTTCAAAAGTTTGGATAATTGAGACACTATTGTAATTGTTTCGTTTTAAATATATGAAATAGAAAATATCAATAAATATTTAATGAATTAAATATATTTTGTTAACAGATTTCAAAATGAGATGGTGAATTTTATTAGAGATTTGTTAAAAATAAATTTTTATTTAGTTATGTATTCTTAAAATAATTAAAGCAAATTAATTCAATATATTTAAAAAATATTTTGAAAATTATGATGACAAAGAAATCAGACAAATATGTATGCAGTCAACATCATTTATTGATTAGTTTCAGAATTAATGTTGTAATGTTAAATTGAATAATTAAAAGTTTGTGGTTAAAACTTTTATTTTAGTTATAAATTTTAATATTACAATATAATTTTTAAAATAATAATATTATTTACCAATATTTTTTTAGAAACATAATATTACTGATCCTGCTACAATAATTTTTGAAATGACAAAGGATGAGAGGAAAGACTTTTATCGATCAGTAGCTAAGGATTTAAATAGACCATTATTTTCTGTTTATCGTCGTGTAATAAGGATGTATGACAAAAAGAACCACGTTGGAAAATATACTCCAGAAGATTTAGAAAGATTAAAAAAGTATGTTTTATGAAATGTTATAAGTTTTGTAATGAAAACAGTATATTAAAAGCATCAGATTTGTAAATTTTGTGCATAATTAGATTAAGATCAGTTTATGGAAATGATTGGCAAGCTATTGGAGCAGTTATGGGAAGAAGTGCTTCTTCTATTAAAGATCGTTGCCGATTGATGAAAGAAAATTGTAATCAAGGCAAGTGTTTTAAAATTTCTAATTTTGTAAAATATTGAAATGATCTTGTTTAGTATTATTTAATTATAAGCATTATTGATATAATTTGGAAACCTAATTGAATATCATTTTTTATTACATTAAGCAATATCATTGCATAGAAAATTTGAATCAAATGAGTTTATAGATAAAATGGGAAAATTTATAATTTATATTTTTGTGTGTTGAAAGAAAGAAATATGATTTCATTATACAGTTTTTAGAAAACAGCAACAAATTCAATTTTGTTTTTAGTTTTAGTTAATTTTGAAGAAAAATTATGAAATTGACTTAACCAGATTGTTTATGAAACGTGATAAAGCAAGCAAAAATATTTACAACTAAATAATAGATTTTTTTAAATTTAGAAACAGTCAAGAAAACAATACTGGTTGTAATTACATTTAAACATAATATATCTTAATAATTTCAATGAATAGTTTTGTAAATGGTTTTGTATTTATAGTTGTTTTATAATTAAATATCCAATAATATAGGAGCCTAATAAATATAATATGATTAAACCAAGGTTCCTACACATCTGGAATGTTGGGGTTTTTCATTAGTGTTCAAAAAAGTCATGGAAAGTCAGGAAATTTGTTTCCTTGGCTGCCTTGTTGACTTTTACTCACAATATGGTTGATCAAGTGTAGCTGTCTGTAGGCAACAAGAAGTAATGTGGTGCAATTCAACTTACAAGAAGGGGACAGAATATTTTCAGGCTCAAATTTCCTCAAAAAGTACACACAATTTTCCCAAAGATTATTGCACACAAAATAAAACCAATAATTTATGGACCAAGCAATAATTATTATTACATAGTTTGATAAATTCAAATTAAATAATGCATATAATTAAATATGCCTACTATAAAATTTGCCATGCAACACTAAACCCATAAGTTAACATAAAAATATTTCAGATTAAAAGAATGTTTTAATTTAAGCACATGTCATTGTCATCATAGGATAGCATATACAATTATAAACTTGATGGAATATGTTAATTAATAGAAATAAAATTGAAGTCAGTGCTGTGAATGATTATTTTCATTTTTAGCACAGACCTTTTGACATCCAAAAATGCAAAATTTATTTATGACAATGACTTCTGAATGAAATTTTATAAGGCTTACACTGGTAGTTGGTCTCAAGTTTGCATCCCACCAACAGGCTGGCCATAGGGAGTTTTCCAGATTTTTTTCATAGATTTAACACCTAAATAGGGTCAGTTTCTTATTTAGATGTGAGATCTGGTCTTAGCACACAGTTTCCAGCTTTTTTCAAAGTCGCATGAGCCTAAGTGGCAATATGATAGCCACGCTATAATATCAGGAGTGTGTTTTTTTTTTACTTTAACATTAGACACAACACTTACAACATCAATGCTATCATTGTTGTTAGCAATGCAATATACATTATACTAATAATGTTCACTCCAACTCACAAAAATAACACTTTCTCTTATAGTCGGCACTTGTACTCTGTGACAATGTCAAACAATTAGATAAAACAGTTAACATGTGCATTGAAAACTGAAAGTTAATAAGACTAGGAAATTTTTGATTAAAAATCTAATTTTATGAAATAGTTCTTATTTTTTTATTTACTTTAATAGCAGAAATAATGAAACAGTTGAATTACAATATTAAATATTGTAATTACTTTTTAATTTTAAAATTATAAACAAATTGTTTTCATTGAAATCCAAGCAAATAAGTTTTTTTAAGTTGTAAAGGTTTTAGCATATTCTACTCTTGGATTTGATTTGGCATCTAGATTAGGCTGTTATATCCAGTTATTTTAATAATCACTCTACTAATTCTAGTCACTGTCAAATAACAAACATTGGGTCTTTCTTCAAGCCATTGTATCTCAATAAAGTGTATATTTGGAACAACATAAAATTTTATTTTATTTATTTATTTTTAAACATATCCAAACAAATTAAAACACAATGAAATAACTAGGAGAAAATTTGGCTTTTGCTTTTGGATGGTATGACCATTAAAGCAAATTTAAAAAAAAAAATTTTTTTTTTTTAATTTACTTAATACAAACTTCACTATCACCTGATCACTATCATTCCAATTATAACTAAAACAATTGAAAAGGCTTTCTATGAAAGATTTTCTAATTGTATAAAAAAAAAAATAATGTTGTAAATGGTAACCAGTATTGCTTTGAACAAGGTTTTCCTACAGTTGACACATTAACACATCTCAAACAATATATTGTTGATGGATTTGATAATTTAGATATAGTGGCAACAGTGTTCATTGACTTATCAAAAGCTTTTGACAGTGTAGACATGAAAACATTAAAACAAAAATTATATAAAGTTGGATTAAGAGGAGTGTCATTGGAGTGGTTAACTTCTTATCTATTTAATCGAAACTACTGTGTCAAAGTAAGTAACTCAATATCTAAATTCTTCTAAACTAACAAAGGATTCATATTAGGCTCTTTACTTTTTAACATTTATATAAACAACATATTTAAGATTATTCCTGGAAACATCACCATAATGTATGCAGATGACATCATAATAACCTATGCAGACCAGAATTCCCAAGCAATTGAAGAAAGCTTAAACTCAGTATTAGCCAAACTAAGTATCTATATGGAAAACCATAACTTAAGTATAAACAAGAACAAAACAAAATATATCTGCCTGGTAATAGAAATAAACTAGTAAATTTAGACCAAATACAAGTAAGAATTAATAATATAAGTTGTCCAAAGTTTACTATCTAAGTTTACTGGAATACTTTAAAAAAATAATGAGATACCTAAACTATTACACTTATATCATATATGTATAGAATGTAAATTAAGATACAGCATTTCTATATGGGTTACAGCTTCAGACTTTGTTTTGAACCAGCTTCAAGTCACACAGAATAATCTCATCAGAGCATTACATAAACTATCTTATAATTTTACCATCACTTTATATTACAACTAGGATAACATTGACAAAGTGCATATATTATATAAAAAACAAGTTCTTCTAGATAGTTTTAAAAACTTTGCAAGAAAGAATTTTTTATTAGTAACCTGCTACCTGCTACCACCTTCTTAATACAACTACAGATGGAAAAATAATCTGCTACTGCCAATATCCAAACACTGTTTCAGTTGAACCATGCCAATCTACCAAATGATATACAATTGGAATGCCCTAAAAGAAGAATACAAACATTTGAAAATCTACAAACAATTTAAAGATGCTATCAACAGCTTGAATTCTGTTTACTTTTGTATGTTGATTATTTTATTATTATTGTTATTTTTTTCTTGTATGTTTTTTATGATGTAGTTGTATTTTGCTTATAAAAGACTTATGGCCAGTGTCCTAAATAAATAATAATAATATGAAGTGCTAGTTTTTAAGTCTCTTCAACTTTGTATGAATAGGATTTGACCATATATATAATATGTATATAAATAATTAATTTCAAATTAATAAATTATTTAGAAATATCTGGAAGAAAAGATATATGAGTTTGATGGCTGGAACACATAACTAGTAATTTACTTACCCAGCTAACAGACATTGCAAAATTGAATTCTGCTATGGGTTAATCTTTTCTTCCAGACATTATTAAATTATTGGTTACAACAACTTTTAAATTAATAAATAAATTCTGTACAAGACAATGCTACTGCCTGCCATTAATATCAATTTTCATAACAGTTTAATTGAATTTAGTTTAAAATGGCCTGTAAATAATTTAGTTGCTTTATTTATTATTGTGAGAAGTAAGGGGTTCGAGGCTATTGCTCTGAGCCTGTTGATTGGCATCAGCCTGGAAAAGGCCTCTCTCAAGGGTCACTGGATGGCTAATTTGCTAGGAGGGCTATTTGTTGAGTGGGGAGGTTGCGGGTAAGTGGACAGAGTGTCCGGTTTTCTGAATAAAGACATTTGGACTGGTTAATAAAATAACACATTTAATAAAAAAACCAAGTGGATTACTATATACAGCTAAGTATTTATACACTAATAGACTGAGAGAGAGTTTATGTAAAATTTACTGAATACCTCCTAAATGGTCCGCTATTAGCAGGTCTGGCTTATGCGAAGGTCAGGGAGACGATCATGAAACTTTGCAGCGGAAACATCGGAGTTAATATTGGCAGGTGGAACGTTGTGTATGGTTTCTCGAAATATGTCCACACTGACATTCTAGTTCGAGCCCTTTTTATTCTTCCCAAGCATGAGAGTCGAATCAGGTGATTTTGATTTAAGGTGGTCTAAGGTTAGGATGTGTCATTGCATCGGCTGCATTGGCTGGATCAGGCCAGATTATTGATACTTTCTTGATGTTCTGACTCTTTTTACCTTATAGGGCAACAAATTTGAAGTTCTTAGATGTCACCATCAAGATGTTGTGACTCTTCTTTCCTCATAATTTAACTGATTTGACATTTTTTCCATTAATAACCATATGTTTAGAATTGTTCTTAACACTTATTCAAAACATTGTTAAAAATTGTTGATTTGTACGATTATTTGATCGTCTTTATCTATCGGTCAGAGGTCAACAGAAAGGCCAGGTGGTGGGGAAAGAAAGTGGTTTTTTTCTACTTTGTAAATTAACTGCATATTAATTTTTAATTTAATTAATTTAACTAATTAATTGTGCTTGGGATCTCACATTATGTATAATTGAATTACAATTTATTTTCTATTTTTTATTAATTATAATACAATTTTAGGTAAATGGCTTCCTGCTGAGGAGAGGAGATTAGCAGAAGCTGTGTATGAATTAGCCAGTGCGATACCAGGTGAAAGAATTACATCTGGTCTCTCTTGGGCTGCCGTTGCTGAGAGAGTAGGTACTAGATCTGAGAAACAATGTCGAACAAAATGGCTTAACTATTTAAATTGGAAGGAAGCTGGTGGAACAGAATGGACTCGAGAAGATTACATTTCTTTAATTTGTAGGTATGTACAGTACATATCATTCATTGTAAGCCATTTCAATTTTCAAAAAAACATCTTTTTGACAATTCTGATTGAAATATATTTTTTGTGAAATTATGCTTCACAAAAATGAATGTTACATATGCAATATTAATAACAAAATGCCTTCCTTAATTTTTTTTGCCCTACAGGCACTAGAAGGGCCATGTTGGTTTGGCCCACAGTAGAGGCAGCCGGGTAGTGAAGGACTGGGAATAAGCTGTCTCTCTACTTTTTTTTTAACTCAGATTCAAGTTTGGGTTTCCTAGAGTGGTAGACTGATGCCATAATTGCCTCAGCCATTTGGTCAACAAAATGACTTCAAAACTTGTATTTTTAAGATTCTTATTAATCTAAAGTTGTTACCTTATTGATAGAACATTTTCATGTACTGAATATGAAATTTTTGAAATTTGTAAAAACAAAAAATTTGAAATATTTTTCAAAAAAGTCATAAATTGAGTATAAACCAAACACCTCTAGATCTTTATGGGTTATAATCTTGTGATTTCATATACAGTAGAGTGGCGATTAGCCAAATGCCGATCAACCGAAAACGTTCCAGTCGGACTGTGTTGTGATGAATCAAATGTTTTTGATACTAGATTAACTTCTAAAGTATAATTTTTTTTTGTTTTTAAATTTTTCAATATATTTATTTTGTTTGTACAAAATAAAGAAATAATTTTTAATGATACAATAGCCACGATTATTATTATAAAAATTTTCATTAGACTTAACATCGATGAAAATTCAACGCAAAGTGACATGCAACAGAGAAAAATTTTAATATGGGACATATTAATATTCTATTATTTGAATATACTAATATACTACAGTATATTAATAATGTATTTTTTGTACATAATCGGTTATCCGAAAAATCAATTTTCTGAACAACCCCAGTCCCCAATTGATTTGGATAATCGACGCGCTACTGTATTTTATATTTATACAGTAATACCCCAAACTTACGTGATAGGCGGGACCAAGCGATAACTGCGTAAGTTGGGGTATAATTTCGCATATAAATACATACAAATTGTTTTTAATTGGGGCCGGAAACTAAAGAAAACAATAATTTAGAAAAAGATGTTTAATAAAATCTTAGATAATACATATGTATAACAAATTATATTATTAAAATTGTAAACCGAAGTTATTTTGATGTAGAAGGCTTCATAAAATTTAACAAATTTGTCTGACGGCTCAAAGATTTTTTCTCCCACAAAATTTCCTCGTAGCATGCTAATCATTTTTTTATTCCTTGTTTTGTAGAAGAAATGCACTCTTCGTTGGAATATTTTCTAAAATTTGTAACCCCTTTTCAATTGAACTGATGCCTTATGTCAAGTTTCCAACTGTCATTCGATCTTCTGATTGCACTGATCTAAAGAATCAAGTTCTTCAATGTCAAGACTCTTACTCATGCATTACTATGAGCTCATCAATTGTCAGCTCCTGATTGTGGGAATCCAGCAGTTCTTGAACACCATCACTATCCACTTCTAAATTTATTTGCCTGGCAATATCGACAACTTCTTCAATCACATTACCAATTTTATCATTCTTTGGTACTGATTCCTCCTGTGTTTCATTGGTAAAAAAAAGAACACAGTTTCTTCCAGATGCCATTTAAAGTTTTTTGTGAAATTTCATTCCAAGATTGTCCAATGATTCTCACTGCATCTAAAACATTGAATTGTTTCCAAAAGTCTTTAATAGAGAGCTTTTTGTTTTGTCTCATAGCTTCATGCAGATGTGCAAATGATTGTCTTGTGTAATAAGCTTTGAATGTTTTTTATGACTCCTTGATCCATTGGTTGAAGCAAACTGGTGGTATTTGGTACCAAAATAAGGTAAAAAAAGATAAAATACAACTTTCACTCGTGGATCAAAATTAGTTAAAGTTTCAGGGGATGACCTGTCACCCAAGCTTTACGATTCAACTTTCAAATCACAGGTAACATAGCTTTAAATTTCTTTGGATAGTAAGACACAGCCTCTTTATCAGCACTTGTCTCTCCACTTTCTGCAATGCTATGCCAATTATAGCGACTTTTGAATCGGCTGAACCAACCATTACTAGTTTTAAACTCTTCATTTTTAGCCACCTCTCCAGCATTCTGTTTCAATCTGTCAAAAATCAACTTAGCTTGAGAGCACATTGTACTGATCAACAGGACAATTTTTTACATTTACTTGATTATCACACCATAATTTTAACATTGTTTCCATCTCAGCGATAATACTGCAAATTTACATTTACAAATGATGCTTAAATTTAAAGATTGAGCATTTTTCACAGCTTCAAGAATTTTTTCTTTATCTTTTATAATTGTTCTGACTGTTGATACCAGTAGATCAAACTCCTTTGCCAATCACAAATTTTCATTTTTGTATTGAAGTCTTTAATAATGTTAACTTTATATTCTAAAGATAAAGTTTTTCTTTTCTTGTTTGATGCAGAAGAATCAGTTCTACTTTGTTTGGATAACATAGTAGAGTCTCTCAAGTCTCCGTAGATATAACAAACACAGAAATAAATAACACAAAATAAATTGTAGCTATGCGTCGATTCCGCATGACACATCCGAACATGTAAGCTGAACAATAGTGTGGGGGGAGTGAGTAATTTAAGAGTTTCATGGTGCTCAAACAAAAGATGAATCGATGAGATTTGAAAATTGCATAACTCCGGGTTCGCATACATCGAGGTATTACTGTACTGTAATTTATAAAATCTACAGAATTATTATCCAAAAATTCTGGCTGTGTTTGGCTTAGATTTAGATATATTTTGATAATTGTTTATTTTATATAAGGGTCTAAATTAAGTTTAGGACTCCTAATTTATTAATGTTATTTAAATTCATAACATTTCTTAAATTAAAGATGTCAGATAATTTCTTTTAAAACTGACTATAAATGAATGAATTATGAGTGCTTTTTACTATATATAAGTTTTTCAATAATAGGGTCTTTCAACCACTGAATAGAAAACACTATCAGAAGTTAATGAGTGAGAAAATATTAATGTAATTATAAAATGTCTTATATCTTTAATCTGTATCTTCTTTGATGTGAATATTGATTTAAGTTGGGCTAAATTTATATTTTTGAAGCATTCATCTGTGGTAATAATAATCCTTAATTCTTAAATTATCTAAAAGATATTTTTCCTTTTGAGACAATCTACTATTTAAATTTTAAATTAAATTTATTAATGTGACAGATTTTTGAAATAATTTAGAATAAAATATCTTTTTAATATTCAAAAAGTATAGATTATATTAGGATTTGAATTTTATTAATAAGTAGAAAAAACAATATTTTATAATTTGTTTGATCTAAATAACTGTTAACATTCTATTCCAATTTCTTTTACATTAAGTACCATATTTTTGGGATTATAGTTTGCACAGAAAAACCAAATACTTATATAAAACATTTTGTTTTGTAATTGCATGGAAGTTAGGCCACAGTGAAAATGTTTAAAATGATTCCTAAACTTACAATATATGAATAATAATAGTGAGCTTTGTTCTACTAAAAAAGGTTTTATTTATTATAGTTACATGGTAAACAAATAATAGGTTATGAAAACCTATTTAACCTAATGTATACACAGCATGGTTTATTGTCAAATGAAGTGGCTGGATTTTTTTGTTAGTCCACCCAGAATTATAAGTAGGGAAGTTTTCATTTCATCACAAGTCTTCATGGAATCCATGATCAGTACTGACTTTAGAGTAAAAAAATGTATGCATGCTGCACTTATGGTACAATTTATTCAGCTACTGAAGCATTATGCCTTCCAACACCCAGCCTTTCTTATTCAAAGCAATCATTACACCCATAGCCATTTTTTCTGTCTGAAGGAAAAAATGGCTATGAGTGTAATGGTGGAGTTTTTCTTTTCAGTATTATCATTGGCCTCGGTTTTCCTCCCATTACATTACATTATGAAAGATTATGGCCATATACAAAGTTTTTGGTTGGAGAAGAAAGGGGAGATGAGGGGAAGGGAATAGGAAGAAGAGAAAGAAAGGCTTTCTCTGAACAGTGTATGTCACTGCTCTCTTTATATTTAATGTTGGTATGCAGTTTCTATGCTGCAAATCTGCCCTTGAAGTGTCTAAAAGAAAACTTGAGTTTAGAATACATCATTATGTAGTGCAGCTACATAAATGCTAGACAGAGAAAAGTGAATGCCAAGTTGTTATTAATGAAGATTTAAAACTAATACATTATACCAGAGTCATAGCTAGCAAGCCCTAAGAGACAAAATAACCTAACTGGATGAAGAAAGAAACAGTGAGTAAACAGTTAACTTAAATCTCTCATAACCAGCTTAAAACTAACTTAACACTACTTATTATTAACTTATAACTAACTTATTACTACAAAAGAATACAGACAGGATCATCTCAGACAGACTAGAGCAGACAATGACAAGACTGTCAGTGTAATTTCTAAACATGGGGTGATTCTTTGGATCTTCAAAGTAAACATCAGGTGCAAGCTGCTTACAGGGTGGTAGTCATAAATGGGAAGGATTCTTTTATCTAAATCAAATTTCCTTGTGTTGGCAAGCAGAGCTAGACTAAGGGGAATCTTACCTTAATATTTTTGGCAACATCTGAGTCACTATAATCTCACCAGGGCAGGTTGACGAGGTTCTCTTTCCAAATGATTTTCTTAATTTTTAAATCTGTTAGGATCAAATCTGACTTTACCAATGAAGCACTCATGAGTGCAGTCCTATACACCTTGCAGATGTGGAGAGCAGTAATTCTCTGGACAGTAAAACCTGTTTTCATGTAGACAGAGTCTCTCCTTTCACCATTACAGTTCAGCTTGGTGGTGTGTTAAATGTTAAAGCATTTTGTCCATATTAAAAACTTGATTTTCCTTTACTCTTTTTCATTTCTTATTTGGAGAAATGCATGAAAGCTTTTCACTTTTTCTTTCCACCCTTCTGGCAACTGTTGTTCAATGGTGGTCCTTGAACAAATGAAAAATGTCTTGCGAAACTTGATTACCCAGGACGGTCCTCTTGTGAAATCTGCAATATTCATGTCTTTTGCCATGTGTCATGCTTGCATCCTAAATAAAACTGTGGAGACTGGCAGTCCATCCTCTTATCAAGCTTTTATCCACTTAGCAAAATTCTATTCCAAAGCTGACCATTTTTCTGGATAGACATGAAGAGTTTTCTTTTGTAAAGGTATCTTGTATATTTTAGCTTTTATTTTAATCCACCAGCAAACGTTCTTTTCATTTGCATTAAATTTCTGTTTGGCTGGCCAAAAACCTATCTTCTCTGCATGAAAAATAACTTTTCTCTTGAACTTTGCCATGTATATAAATTCAATAATTAAAATATAATTCAGTAATTTTTAGTATTTATCTGCCATGTAGTTAAATCACCAATTTTTTTTATCTATACATTCATCATAAAATCCAAATCAAAAATATTGTATATCATATAAACACCTTGGTTTTTATTTGTGAAATTGCTTTGTAGACTGGCATCTATTAAAGACCAGACATTATTTAGACAAAAAAGAAATGACCAATAAGAATTGGATTAGATATCAGGACAAATAGGGCCTTAGCCCACCTGACCAAAATTTGAGTGGTCTCTAATTTTGATGTGTACAAACTTTATGGCCTGGGAATTGAAGGAACATTGGAAAACTCTAGAACAGTTGCTAATTAAATTGATTAGGTCCAGATATAACTGACATATATTTGATGTTTCTCTCTCTTTTACAATTAGTAGCTGTGAGGGAAGTAATTTACATGATTGTCTTAAAAGCTAAAAACTATATTTCTCACACATGGGCCACAGTTTTAAAAGGAGTTTGCAGACTAATACATGAAATTGAACTCAAACTCAAATGCAGCCCTGATGGCATGGTTGACTTTAAGACGATCAACAGCACTAAAATGTTTTATTGTTTGTTAGGCCACATTTATTTTATAACTAGTTAGACTGCAATTTGAAAAGATTGTAGATCTGTAAATTTTCACTTTTGTCCAGTTGTCCTTAATCTTGAGAACAGAGTTAGATACATGCAAGACAAGACAAGATAGGGAAACCTTGAGGCAGAAGGCCCCGGTTAACTATATACAAACTTCCAAATGCAAACCAGAAGTTATGTTATTTCAATTCAAAAATTTTCTCCTTAAAGGTGTTTGATAGATGACTGGCATGACTCTATTGTTAAAGGAAAAGTATGATGAATTATAAAGTCCTAAGGATTAATTTACTTATTCAAACAATAATGACATACAAATAATTTTGGGTCAGTTTAAAGTGAAATGTTTTTTAATGTCATATTGTCAATTTTTAATGAACTGTTTCTATCTTCATGTTGTGACTTTAAACTGACTCAAAATTATTTGTATGGTCATTCTTATTTGAATAAGAAAAGTATGATGTACAGGGGCAAGTCACTAATTTGAGGTGGTGAACATATATTTTAAATTAAATATATGAATAAATTTTTACAGCCCAGCATTGTGATGCTGTCACAATAAATAATTGTTCATTTTTTTTGATAAGCCTCCTGAAAATACTATACTCATAATAATATGATAATATTAATAATGCAATCATTTTTTATTGATCTAGTTTAAAATTTATAGAACATGTTATATTATTTAAAATTATTAATTTTAAACATAAAATATGAAATTATAAGCTAATATAAATATTTTAAATGTCAAACAATATTTTCAGAGTATATGGATTAAATGTAAATGATGAGAATATGATTGATTGGGCTGAATTAGCTAAAGGATGGGCAAGGTATAAATTATATTTATTAAAATTGTATTCTTTTAATTTAAGATTTTAAATATAAATTTTTTAAATTAAAATATTTATAAACTATATATAGTTATTATATACAGTGTGGTCATAATTAAAGTTGTCCTATTCAGAGGAATCTGTAACTCCAACGATTTTGCACCAACATTTCACTGACGACCAGGTGATTAGTTGTCTGTTTCTGATCACCTGGCCATACATTCTCTGGATCTGAATACATGTGATTTCTGGTTGTGGAGCCATTTAAAGAATATGTTTTATCATGGTAATGTTGCAGCATTGACAGATAAAGGACAGTACTGCATTACAGTGTGAAGCATCATAGGGAAATAGTTGCAGTCAACCATTGAACATACTGTGCATTATCTTCAAATTTTACACCTAAATAATTTGGAACACATTAAACAACATTACTGCATTGCTAAAAATTTTGTACAGTACATACTGATATCATCCCATATGAATGAATAAAGGCTTTTTCATTGTGTTACTGTTGTTTTGTTTTTCAGCACCATTTAACCTGTAGCGAACAATTTTGGAACAAAATTTTTTTAGCAGAATCTTTTCCTGTATTGTTTGAATACTGTGTACACAAATTTTGGTGTCAGTTGGCTTATTGGTTGGAGCTGGAGAGTCCTCTGAATATGACAACTTTAATTATGATCATCTAGTACAGTGGATGATCAGTTAACGAACAAATCGGATAACAAACACTGTTGCGAAAGATTTTATGTTCAGACAACGAACACCTCACAGATCAACACAAGAAGAAGCAACGTAAGATAATGAATACTGATTGGTCGTCCCTTGTCTTTAGGCAACAATTTGAAACTTTTCAGAGCACGGGATACGTCGACATCGACCCTCAACCCGGTATATACTGCTCGAATAGTATTCCTCCAAACTTTGAAACTCTGTTGTAATTCCAGCCTTTTATTTTTCTGACAGAAACAATTCTTTTATAGTATTTGTGAAACTGTTGGAAGAGTACTTGTTAAGTTTTACATCAGTTTTTATTTTTGAAAGGTAACAGCAAAGGTAGAGAGAGAGTGGGTAGATGTCTGATGTTGCTGGACAGTATGGCTTGAATAGGTGTACAGTAGGCCACAGTTCAATCTTATCCAAGAGAGATACAGTATAATCAAGAAGACTCAAACAGCTAAAGGAGTAACAGAAATCACATCTGAGAAATAAAGAACATTGAAGAGCTCATAATGGAACCTGAAATGGATCTGACGACAGAAGAACACCAAGAAACTCGGTGTGCTATGTTTTCTTCTGAAAAAGAGGAATAATGTCGATATCTGCTATGAAAGATCTTTTGAAGAAGTGGGAGGATGTCAGAACAACAGTCTTAGAATGGCATCCAAACCTGGTTGAGGTTATTGGGCTTAGAGATCTTTACAATTACAATGCTACTAATTACTTCTGAAAAATCCTGAAAAAGAGAGAAAAGCAATCGACATTAGATAGATTCCTTAACCTCCACAAACGGAAAAAACCTGACTAATAAAAATGCAAGGATGTGTATATATGTATTTTTATTATTACATGTAAGAAAGTANTGTGAAACTGTTGGAAGAGTACTTGTTAAGTTTTACATCAGTTTTTATTTTTGAAAGGTAACAGCAAAGGTAGAGAGAGAGTGGGTAGATGTCTGATGTTGCTGGACAGTATGGCTTGAATAGGTGTACAGTAGGCCACAGTTCAATCTTATCCAAGAGAGATACAGTATAATCAAGAAGACTCAAACAGCTAAAGGAGTAACAGAAATCACATCTGAGAAATAAAGAACATTGAAGAGCTCATAATGGAACCTGAAATGGATCTGACGACAGAAGAACACCAAGAAACTCGGTGTGCTATGTTTTCTTCTGAAAAAGAGGAATAATGTCGATATCTGCTATGAAAGATCTTTTGAAGAAGTGGGAGGATGTCAGAACAACAGTCTTAGAATGGCATCCAAACCTGGTTGAGGTTATTGGGCTTAGAGATCTTTACAATTACAATGCTACTAATTACTTCTGAAAAATCCTGAAAAAGAGAGAAAAGCAATCGACATTAGATAGATTCCTTAACCTCCACAAACGGAAAAAACCTGACTAATAAAAATGCAAGGATGTGTATATATGTATTTTTATTATTACATGTAAGAAAGTATATATTTTTTTATTTTTTGGGGTTTTCAGAATGAATTTTTCAATTTCCCATAAAAACCTATGGTAAATTGATAATCAGTTAATGAACAATTTGTATAGCGAACAAAGTCTTGGAACAGATTATGTTTGTTAACCAATCATCCACTGTACTTTAAAATATATATATAATTAATATTTAATTAATGTTTATCTAATAGTTTATTTTAAAATGTATCCAGTAATATAAAAATGAATTATTTTCTTTCTGAAAGTGAAAAATTAATTTTTATATTAATTATATTACTGCATAAATTTTTTATGTTTGGATAAAAAATTTATCAAATTAAATTCAACTTCCAAAATTTAATCTCTAATGTAATTTAACGAGTGACTTAAAAATATGAAAGTGAATTTTTGTTGAATTTAACATTTGAACTTTGAAGCATTTGAAGTTAGAGTTGTTCGAAGTATGAAGTTCAAACTGTTTCTTGGAATGTAATTTCAGTTTATGTACTGAACCTATGAGAAGTAAAACAGCTCATTAATGAATTTTGAAGACCAGATTGGAAAAAACTATTATCTTGTAGCTAATTATGATATGATCAGAATTGTGAGGAATTCTGATCATATGTTTCTGATCATCAGGCCTTTCAATATGTTTTTAGGACTATTCTAAGCACCCTACTATATATAAAAACTATAAATTTAATTTCTTATTTATAAATCAAAATAGTGATATTGAGTTTAGCTTTTCTAATGAAATTTTTCAGTTGAAATATTCTAAAAGAAGTAAGATTCTTTATAATCAATTTATTCTGCCAAATGGTTGAAAACAGAAAACATACTTTATTTTAAAGAAATTGATAATGTTGTTATTGTTTTAATCTTTTTGCAACTAATTATATTATAATTTGTACCTTTGACAGTCATTTATTTCTACTTGTTTGGTATATGTAATCAATAAAGTAAATATCTTTTTATTAGCAATAAATAACAAAATTCTTTTCTTTAAGAATGTGCATGTAAAAAATTTTATTTGGAAATGTTAAAACCATTTTAGATTTATGAAAAAGTAGATTTTTAGATTCTTTGAAATGGTAGAAATTCTCTAAATGAAAAAGATTTTATTTTAGAGACAATTTTTTCTAAAATTTTATTTGATTAGACTAATATAATAAAATTTTATAACAGTGTTCGATCACCACAGTGGTTGAGAGGGAAATGGTGGAGTTTGAAACGACATGTACCCAATGCCATTACTCTCCCTTTCCGTGGTAAATATTTTTTATTTTTTTGTATTTTAATAAATAAAAAAAATTAGCACAATGGATTTATATATAAATCTGTTTTGTAAACAAAATCATGAAACAAATGTTTATTCTAATACGTACATTTTGTTAATTTTATATTATCATTTATTTAAATTTGTTTTCATAAATAAAAAATTTGAAAAAAACAACAGTTATTATTATTATGCATTTTTATTTATTTGTTTTCCTTATTATTTTGAGTTTTATTAAAATAAATGTTAATTGCACATGTTTTTTAAACATTTAATTGCTATAAATGTATAGATAATTGCAATTTTTAATAATATTTTGGATCGACTTCAGTTATGTTTCCTAGAAATATTCACATTAAAAAAAATTAGTTATCATTTTGAATATATTTATTATGGAATCATATCCTTTAGAAATCTTTGTGTATATAGAAATATGATTAGCTATAAACTACTGAAAGAAATTAAAATTATATATGCAAAAGATAATAATATATGTATCTTTCTTCAAATAAAAATGTAAATATTTAATAGAACTTTTTAGTGTTGATGCCATAACATGATAGATTAACATGTGACAGTATCAAGTAATGTATATGATATTATAACATTGAAGCTGTTTATTTATTATTTATATTTTAACAATTTCAAAGTACATAATATTAATGAGTGAAAAAATGGAGTAATTTATTAACATCAATAACTACCATTCTTTCTGTTGTTTTTCAAATATTATTTTCAAATAAAAATGTTATAGTTTGAAAGTTGGAAACACAAACTTAGTATTTAAAAATACCATGCACTTATATATCAAAATATTTAAGTAATCTCTTTTATAATAAATTTCAAACATCATATTGATAAAGTAATAAAATCTCTCACAATATGCCAAGGGATCCTTTGGAGATTCTGTAAAACTATAAACCCATAATTACACAGTTTTATTTTCAAATTTTCAGTAAATAGTTGATTACTGTCTTCCAATCTGGTCTATGGCTGCTCCATCTCTGATTTCCAAACTTTTGCACTTTCAAACTATATTTATTATGAAATAAATTATGTAATTTGCGACAAACTCATAATACCACAGTTGCCTCTGTATTCGTCAATCTTNTAAAGAGAGTAATTGCATTAACTACAAGGAGGAAATCACTCTATCAATGACCTGGCAGGCCCTGCTAGATAAAACTCTAAGATAGAACGCAGCATGCATACTGCACAGGTCCGTATTGACTTCATTGGGTCAAGACAACATTCTGTTAGGGGATCGTTACCTGAAGAAGAACCGTAATGGTTCAAAAACATAGAAGAGTAGATGAACATTTATTATTTATCCAAATACTTAAACACAATTAATATTAATGATGCTGTGTCCATTTGCAATAGCTGGAAGCCTATATTAAACAGCATTGATCTTATGCAATAGATTAATACATCTATTGCATCTAAAAGTAATGCGAAATCTGCTAAAGATTTCGCATTACTTTTAGATGGTTTATTATTATTAATTTGATTTAATTCATTATTTACTCTGTATTTTAACAGTTGTTCATCATTCTCTAATTTACCACAGTTTAAATTTGAATGTTGTGGTTCAGTTCAGTTTTATTTGATATTCCATTTGACATTATAAGAATTTACAAATAATTGATGGCTCAAGCTGATTCAAGTAGTTTTTTAGAGTTTCTAAAATAAATTACAGTAGACCCCCCAATAACACTGTAGATAATTCCATGTTATAGGGGGTCTATTCTATTTTTGGCTTCTTGAATATAATAGAGCATCAATTCACTGAAACAATTCAGGACTGGGATTGTTTGGATAACTGATTATTTACAAAAAAATATATTAAACACAAAACTGTACTGTATATACTTTCTATCGTGTCTTACAAATACATACCTTACATAAAGTAGGCCTACAGTTTAAGTTGGCAGTGAAGAGGAAAGAGTAGCAACCTAGATATATTGCATTATTTCATAAATAATGTTTTTTATTCCTTGTTAATTGGGGGGAATATCTTTTGTTTGCTGTCAGTTCCTAATTATATATTAAATAAATAAATATTCAAAGATTTGTTTTCTTTCAGATATATGTGATTATTTGTATCAGCATTATGTTCAAAAAATTAGGTTAAAAGATGAATCCACTTCAACGTCGGAAAATGTTTCCAGTCTGCATTCTCATCCTCCGGCTCATTTAACGGGTCATACACCTACATCTATCTTATGCAGTCCAACAGATTCTATATCTAGTCCTTTAGAAATGGAAGGAGCTATTTCAACTGCTGCTATACGAGGTAAAATCTTAAAATTTGATATAATAATTTTGATTTAGGGTTAAAAAGTTTTTGTTTATGTTTGCTAAACATAGATTAACCAAAATGTTTTGATATATATATATGTATTATCATCAACTTCTGTTCAGTATATTGATAAGATGAAATAAGATAAATATTTAATGGTGTAATAAATTATCAAAAATATAAATACAATAAAAAATAATTTTAAAAATTGAAATAATCAAAGCAACAATATTATTATTCTTAAAAGAAATAAGCTATTTAGAAATCTGGAGAATAAGCTCTAAAATTAATGAAAAAAGATCAATGCTTCTATTGTAAAGGTTCCACCACTCACTCCCTAGATATTAAAGGAGTATATTCATTTGATTATTTCTGTTCAGAACAGTGTCAGTACTTCACTGGTGCAATGATGTGCAAATAACAAGTTCCAGAGTATTATGGAACAAATCAGCTCTCATAGAAGAGGTAGAGAAGGATTTCCCATAAGATTACTAGAGTAGATGAACACGAAAATGGTAGAATGTCTACACCAGAGTTCTGTAAAAAATGCACGTATCTATAAGCCTTTTCCCAGTGCACATTTCATCACACTATACAACAAAGTTACAAACGTTTTTGAACCATTACAGTTTTTCTTCAGGTAACAATCCCCTAACGGAATGCGCTTTGATTCAAAGTTGTTAAGAAATAGGATCCAGAATGTTGTCCCGACCCGATGACGTCAATATAGACCTGTGCAGTATGCATGCTGCTTTCTATCTTAGAGTTTTATCTAGCGGGACCTGCCGGGCCATTGATAGAACGATTTTCCTTCTTGTAGTTAATGCAATTACTCTCTTTAATCATGTTTAGGCATATGTAGCCAAACAGCACGGTTACCACGGGCTCATAAGTAAACTGAACAAAAAAATACAACAGTAGGAAGCAAATCGTAACCAACTCACCAATGATACTCCTAGTAACAATATCCCTATCACATATAATCTGGTACTATAATCCATATACACTGAGATTGCTAGGAAAAAGGATATCTGTATTACTTTTAGAAGATTCGCTACGATTTTTGATTTGTTATGAAATGGGAAAGATACCCCAGACGGAAATAAACTTCCCTGCATCTACACCATTCCTATCATTAATCACAGGTGTGATAGAGGCATGGTCTACACAGGATCAACCAAATTCCCCCTTGAAACCTGAATTAAAGAACATAAAGCAGATATTAATCATGAAAGAACACACAGCTCTGGCTGTATACTCTTCGGACCTGGACATAAAACCCATATTCTCTCAAATAAAGGTCATACATACCACCCACCACACTAACCATCTCAGATGGCTGGAGGCGATCTACATATGCCTAAATACAATTAAAGAGAGTAATTGCATTAACTACAAGGAGGAAATCACTCTATCAATGACCTGGCAGGCCCTGCTAGATAAAACTCTAAGATAGAACGCAGCATGCATACTGCACAGGTCCGTATTGACTTCATTGGGTCAAGACAACATTCTGTTAGGGGATCGTTACCTGAAGAAGAACCGTAATGGTTCAAAAACATAGAAGAGTAGATGAACATTTATTATTTATCCAAATACTTAAACACAATTAATATTAATGATGCTGTGTCCATTTGCAATAGCTGGAAGCCTATATTAAACAGCATTGATCTTATGCAATAGATTAATACATCTATTGCATCTAAAAGTAATGCGAAATCTGCTAAAGATTTCGCATTACTTTTAGATGGTTTATTATTATTAATTTGATTTAATTCATTATTTACTCTGTATTTTAACAGTTGTTCATCATTCTCTAATTTACCACAGTTTAAATTTGAATGTTGTGGTTCAGTTCAGTTTTATTTGATATTCCATTTGACATTATAAGAATTTACAAATAATTGATGGCTCAAGCTGATTCAAGTAGTTTTTTAGAGTTTCTAAAATAAATTACAGTAGACCCCCCAATAACACTGTAGATAATTCCATGTTATAGGGCGTCTACTCTATTTTTGGCTTCTTGAATATAATAGAGCATCAATTCACTGAAACAATTCAGGACTGGGATTGTTTGGATAACTGATTATTTACAAAAAAATATATTAAACACAAAACTGTACTGTATATACTTTCTATCGTGTCTTACAAATACATACCTTACATAAAGTAGGCCTACAGTTTAAGTTGGCAGTGAAGAGGAAAGAGTAGCAACCTAGTGAAAATTTGAAATTGCCGACCGGAACACTTTCGGTTAACCAATGTTTTGGTTGATCGGTATTCGGATAATCAATGCTATTGATCGGTATTCGAATAATCAATTATCATTTTTAAATTATGATGGTAACAAATTTTGAGGACTACATTAATTTCAAAGTATTTTCCCATTTCTTGTTACATTAAAAATCTGTTTTTTTAAAAAAAAGTTGCTTTTAGGAATACACTGAGGAAATATTCTTCATCTTTTGAAATAATTTTGTAAATTTTTTATTTTTCATTTTTATAGAGTAAACTATAAAATAGAGATGATTAAATTAAATTTATAAATCAATAATATTTATTATATTTTTTTAAAACATTACATAAAAGTAATGAAATAAGTATTAAATGAACAAGGTTGTTCAAGGTTTCCATTTTTTAATTTTTTAAAAATCAAAACTTTTTTTTTTCATCTGATGGCGGGATTATTATTAACCAAATCGAAGACAAGTCTGCCCAAGAGGGATCACCATTTATTTTGCATTCCAGGCTATACACATAGCGTTTTTTAGGCTATGTGTATAGTCTAAAAAGGAAGGTCTGTTGTTATGTATGTGTATAGTCTGGAATGCAAAATAAATGGTGATCACTCTTGGGCAGACTTGTCTTTGATTTGGTTAAAAAATCAAAACACATTAGGATGTAAAGAAATTTATTTAAAATTTTCAAATAATCACTCTGAACTTCATTCCATTTTCTTCAATGATTTCTCCAATTCACAAAACACTTAGAAGCTGATTTTTTCAAGTTGGGTAAAGAAAAATTTAAAGTGAATTAGTTTAGGAAAATGGGTGATTGTGGAAGAACAAGAGTTCAAACTCTAAATGTTTAGTCAATAGAATTCATACTGTTTAAGACAAATGGTAAATAAATTTTGTTATCTTTGAAAAAAATTTGTTTTTCTAAATGTTTTTTGAAATGGTTGGAGAAAGTGTGTCAAAGTTTGAGGTGATTATTTTGAAATATAAAATATAAAGAAATTTATTAAATAAGATGTTTTGATCTATTCCTGGAACTCTTTGAACATACTTTGTATTTTGTATTCTTAATTTTGATTTTATAGTTAACAGTAAGTCTGTTACAAAATTTTAGCAAGTATGAAAAAGTTAATTTGAATAAATACTTCATTTACATTTGAAAAATTTACTTTTACAGCTATTATATAGCATGTTTTAAAAGTGAATAATTTGTTTTTAAATTTATTCTATGATTTTCATTGTAAGTTATTTTTATTATCATTCTAAGATTAACCAGTTTATCATAATCATTTTAAATCCTAAATATTGATGATTTCATTTAAACTTTTATTTTTTATAGAGTTAAATCATTCAAGTGTTACAACAAATTTAGTAACAACTACTGTTGTGGAAACTATTAATTCTCCAGCTACAACAATTTCATCAGTAGGAATGTCTCCCATGTTACAGACCCTAGAAGTATTGCCGCAAGGAATTCAACTAACACCAGCTAATCCACAAACTTTCCTACTCACTCATCCAACTCAGTCCATACCATTAACAGCTTCAATTTCACCAAATCAAATAATTATTCAAGCTGTTACAGTAAGTTATATGAAATCTTTTAGATTAACAGCATACAATCATTTTCAAAAACTTTTTTTTTCCATTTACATCAAAAATATAAAGATAAAACCTTCAAAACATATTATTAAATGTGTATGATAACCAAGATGATAGAGGTGATTACTGTGCAACACTGGAGCACCTATGTTTTTAACTCAGATTTTGTAGGGTGGGATTACTCTGATATGTTGAGTTTCATCTCTCAACACACAACTGCTTCTATTATGAGATTGGCATGAAAAAGATGTTAATGTCCCATGAAAGTTTTTAAAAATAAATAAATATGTGCGAAAAAAAAAACCTTGCATACTTACAGTTTTGTGAAATATGTGTGTTAGGATCAAAGATTAAAAATATTTAATGAGTGGAAAAAATGGCCATAATATGTTGTGGCTTTACAGAAACAGCCATAACAAGAAATTTCACATCCTGGCTGCTTATATAGAGCCATGATGCATTGATTGATACAAAATTCATATTGTGACTGTTAAAAAGTGATCACAGTAAATTCCACCATTATCAACATACCACAGTCTATCAGTCATTTCCTGTTTATTCTGTATTAACAAATAAGAGTTCAGGATATATGGTTAAATAAGTGTAATAATCAAGAACTGTTAGAACAACACTTAAAATTACCATTGATGTTTTTTGATAATATTTGCACTTTCTGTTGATACAATACTTCTCACAATATAGCTTACAAGGCACTACTTGTTGTCAGCAGTTGTGCACTCATTGCAAGTATAGAATCATTTGAATGGGTCTTCTTTGGTGTCCAGACATGTTTGCTGATGTTACATCAGATCAAAACTGACAAATGACCAAGTTCACCTTGAATTGGCTTCTCTTCCTTACTGGGTTAAGATGGCAGATTGTTGTATGCATGTGTAATAAAAATTCCTAATGTTGCTTATATATCAATGTATTGTGGTATGTTAATAATGCTGGAAAACATTGTGATAATTTTTTTAATATCCCAAAAAACAAATTTTGCATCATGGCATTTTAAAAAATGCTAGAATGTGTCTTGGCTCTTTAAGCAGCTACAATGCCAGTTTCATGTTTCTGTCAAACAGCAACACATTATGATACTTTTTTAGCTCATTCAGCATTTTTGATCTTTAACCTAACATATGTATTTACGTTAAATAAAATATTTCATAAACAATTGTTACTATTTAGAGTTTAAAAAACTAGTTTTAGAAATAAAGTTGTTATTATATGAATAGAATTTATCAAATATTTAATACTTTAAAAGTAAATTCTGATTCAGTTTAATTTTGTTGGCATTAAATGCATCAGCTTTAAGAGAGAAATTTTAAAAAATTATAATATAAGTGATGATAGTGGATTTTGGAAGTATGAAAATTATATCTGTGTAGTTGTCTCTGTTAATACTGTACTGTTCTCTTTTAGATATTCATTTCCAATAAGAATATAAACTATAATTTACTATAATTTAAAAAAAAATTATTAAAAAATATTTATAATAGTTTATTAAACATAATTTTCTTTTTACATAGATATGATGTGTAATGATTATTTTTATGAATGTTTTAACTTTCCTACTGAAATACATTTTGACAAATATTACTAATACAATTAAAATAAATATTGTATTTTAAATTAATAATTATGAAAATTTATAGGTTTTGCAACTTAATGATTACAATATATGAATAATATAATACAAGTTACCTATTTTCAATTTAGGATTAAAATTATTTTCAAGCTTCCATTAAGATACAGTAAAATATTAAATATAATGCAGATTTCCTTATTTGTAAAATCTGTTGGTCATAAAAAATATGAATATTATAATTATTAATATATTGATTGTTTCAGACTGAGAGTCTTCAAGGCAGAGAGAATATGGCCATACAGATGAGTTCTCAGCCACAAATAATAATAAGTGCCACAGGGGGTGCTACAGCTCTAACATCACTTGCTCCAAATACAATTGCTGCAACTCATTCTGGTGTTTCTGGTGTTCTTACTCTAAATTCGGATCAAATGAGATCTGATGCGTCCACTCCTACAGTTAATAGTGGAGATTTTGGTGGAGATGACCAGGAATCTTTGATAGAAGAGACATTTCAAAATCAGGTAATCAAATGTTAATGCAAAATATTTATTATGGCACAATCAACTTTCATTAATTTGAATTCTTAAAATTCAAATTAATGAAATTTTACTGTGGGTATTTTATATTATCGTGTACCCTATTTTCACAGAATGACTGGCACGCTGGTAACCCCAGGGTTACCAGCATGCTAGTTAAACTGTGACTAAAATATAAAATTAATCAGATTTTATGAAACTAATTGTTAATTAAATGTTAAAGAAAACATTCTTCCAAGTTAAAATAATAACATTGTAATTTGACCAACTTAAAATAAAGAAGAGAGTTTTCATTTTCATGACAATAAACACAATTAATGACTTATTGGCATTTACAGTAGTAGTAGTTAGGTAGTGTGGTCTACCCTGACCTTAAAAATAACACCTTCCTCTCAGATTTCACACTGTAGTGATGTTAATCAGTGTAATCTGAGATAGTTTATAGAGTTTCTTAAATTTAATATGTTTATTTTTGTGTTTTTGAATCAAATAACAATAAAATACACAAAAAAAAGCACTTCTGGAATTCTAAGAGAGTTTTATGTTGTTAGAAAGTAGACAAAATAAAGAAATTAAGCATATGCAGTAGACCCCCCTATAACGCGGAGATACGTTCCTCGTTATACGAATTTTGCGTTGTAGGAATCCTTAAATACATGAGCCATTCGCAGCCCAACACATGTGAAGTTTACGGACTACGGCTGTTTGAAAGGTTTTCTTCCATAAAATTAATCGATTCTAGACTAATTCAACTTAACATTTCCAAAATACATATAAATTTTTGGGAATAACCCGTATAAACTATGCTATAAACAAAAAATTGTAGGATTGCTTACCGAGTGTGCACCGTTCGACGTCGCCATTGCTTAAGCTTGTGTTTGTCGCAGAGCAGCGCACCAAACGGCAGCCGTGATTTCTGATGTTATTTTTCTGTGAAAAATTCGTTGAACTTTGGAGACATCATTAATAGAAATAATTTTTATGGCCGTTGAATAAGAAATGTTTTTTCACAAGAAATGTATAAAATTACAGTGCTGTATTAGACTTACGGTACCTAATTTACATACTGTACAGACGATAGTAAACTCAACTTACTCGCCTAAACTCTCTGTAGAGTGGCGCTGGACGGCGGAAAGTATATATATAATTATAATAAAGTTAAAATAAAATAAATTAAGTTAATATATAATTATATATACAGTACCTAATTTATATATAATTAATATATAATTATATGTACGGTACCTAATTTATATATAATACTGTACAGACAATAGTAAACTCAATTTACCCACCTAAACTCTCCGTAGCGTGGCGCTGGATGGTGGAAAGTAGTTCGGCTGCTTGTCCGTGATGACGAGTTGGCGATGACGTTTTACTGCGTCTTACACGTCCCTTTTAGCATCTTTATACAAATATTGTCGCAATTTTATCGCCGCATTATAGGAATCTCCATTATAGGAACCTGTGTTATAGGGGGTCTACTGTAATCAGTTTTTGATGTAATGCTGGCAGTTTCACAGTTTTAGAATAAGAGCTTGTTTGTTTTTTTAATGCACCCTTTAGAGAGGTATGTATATAATCTCACTTAAACAGGCATGTTAGGTTCATGCCAGCATTCTCCTTGGGATAAACCAACATGTTGATTTTTACCATACAGAAATATCTGATTTTATGGTCTCTCCCAGATAGACTAGCATGCTGGTCATTTTGCAAAAATATGGTGTACAGTAGACCCACCTATAATACCGTTGATAATTCCATATTATATGAATTCCATGTTGTAAAATTTAAGTAACTTGTACAACATGGAATTCATATAATATGCAATTATCAAGTGTTATGGGGGTCTACTGTATATATATATATATATACAATACATATATATATATATATATATTGCAAAAATATATTTATCGCACTCTTACGAAAGAAATTTAAAGCGTACATACGTCAAAAAAATTAAATGGATATTTCGTTCCCAAAATATTAATCCACAAAAGAAGTGGGAGTTAAGTATCACAGCCTGGGACAACATCATGCCTCTCCAATGTCTTTTGGATACTCTAAGTTTCAGTCCTGTTTATGCTCCGGCTCCGTTACCGCATCCGGAGACCCTCATTCCAGATATTGAGCTCATCATTAAGGATATGAATAGCACAGAGCAAGATGTTATTCGATGGAAAATCAGATTCCGCACGGTGCAAGAGAAGAGCAATAACGTAAATGCAAGACGGTTTCACCTTATCTTGAAGAAATTACGCCAATGGTTACTACAGAATAATGTTATACTCACGAGGGTGGATAAATCGAAAGAGACTACTACTATATGGTATTAGATATACAATATAGTACTACTAAAACGTTCTAATTACAACGAGAAGCTAAAAGAATATATTACAAACACAGAGTGCCAGCCTGCCCCCGTCAATTTCTTGGATACTTTGCAGAATAGGGTTAAGAGATTCACTTCCACCGCTTTAGCACGACGTTTACACATGCAGAATTCTATGATCCTCGCTCCAAGAACTCCTAGGTTGTTTGTGTTTGCGAAGACACATAAACCGGGTAACCAGCTATGTCCGGTCATTGATAAATGTGGCTCCCCAACATTCTTGATTGAAAAGCAGTTAGTCAACTTCTTCCGTGCTAGAGACCACCTACATCCATTTTCTATTTCCAACTCACTGCAGCTTGTGGAGAGTCTCAGAAGCATTTCTCTTACAGACAAGGAATGTATGACCGTATTCGACTACAAATCCTTGTACCCTTCGATAAAATTACCTCCTTGCTTCTGTTCCATAAGAGATTTTTTATTTGCCAATATAGAAAATGCTCCATCTTATCATGCTCATATCCTGGAATTAGCGCATTTAATTTGTTACACGTCGTTTTTTGAATTTGAAGGAAATGTCTTCTTACAAGGAAGAGGCATACCTATGGGTAGTCCTACATCTGCAATCCTTTGCGAATTGGTTTTGCATCAGCTTGAAAACACCATCCTACCCGAATTTCAACAGCAGATCATTTTGTACGCCAGATACATTGATGACATATTTGTACTTTGGCGCGAAGAACCTAACCTACAATATTTTTTAAACAAGATCAACAATAACCCTTACGGTTTAACTTTGCAGCTTTGACCAGAAGAGTGACTCCAGTGTTAACTTCCTGGACATTTCCATTACGTGCAAGCAAGGGGAGATCTGGACCGATATTTACCGTAAACCCTGCTTTCAACCTGTTATCATCCCACGCCAATCAATCGATCCCAAATATCATATATCAAATTGGCGGTTTTCAGATCATGGATTAAACGTGCTTACACGCATTGTACAAGTTTTTCCGACACAATAAGGGAGCTAAAGTACATTCTTGAGATAGCCCAACTAAACGGATATCCAAAGGAAGAAATAGAGAATCTTATTTCATCCTTCCAATCCACTGAACGGCGTTCTCCCAAGATTGACTATAATAAATGAATAGTACTTAATTACATCCCATTTTTGAACTAGATACACAGATCTACTGCCAAGTCTAATAACATACACATTATATACCGCCGCAACCCCACTATTTTCAAGCTTTTGAGAAATGATAAAAAGAAAGAGGATCGGAATTCGACAACGAGTATATATTCAGTACCTTTACATGATCAACGATTCGATTCCAGTCTTGTTTATGTGGGTGCGACGATGCGTGGTCTGAAGCAAAGGCTCAAGGAGCATAAATACACAATAGATAGGAACCTTGATAACACTGTCTTAGCATCATACGCAAAGCAACAGGATATAGACGTGCAATGGGATCAAGCATCAGTTATAAAAACGACGACTAATAGGCAAACGATCAAACATCTGGAGAGGTTGGAAATCTATAAAACGCACATGAAAACTGGTTGTATAAACCATAGAGATGCCGACTCGTTGTCCACTGCGTGGAGGTCCTTTTACAATTATTAATTTTTCACTATTTATTTAGTTTATTTGTTAATTTTTCACTATTTATTTAGTTTATCTGTTAATTTTTCATTAGTTCGTCCGCTAGGGCGTTTTCCGTTAATTTTTATTTTTATATTTATTTCAAAAGCATTTTATGTTCTATATTTACTGTTCTATTTTTGTAACTGATGATGATCGTTGAAAAACGATTAGTTTATTTGTTAATTTTTCATTAGTTCGTCCGCTAGGGCGTTTTCCGTTAATTTTTATTTTTATATTTATTTCAAATGCATTTTATATTCTANTTAAAATAATTTTAACGATTTAATTAGAAAAAGAAAAATTTTAATTTAAAATCTGCAAAACGGGAAAAGGAAACATTTTCTACCACTAGATGGCCGTACCTTTACTACACTGTAGAGAACAATAGATGAGACCTCGTCGAGGCAGGAAGGGACATCCTAATAGAGACACGTGACACGAATGACATCGAAAACAGGATTCGGTCGCGTGCCAGTGTTGTCCTTCGTGGGTCATCTGTCCCTGATCGACACCGATCGGTTCTCCGCACGTGTCACAATATTCGGCGAACATGGCATCGAAGCAATGCAGACAGTAGGGACGACCTTCTTTCATAATGTATCTCTGTCCCCCTAACTGTCGATCGCACTCGAAACAACAGAAGTGCTTCATGTGCCACGCTCTTCCTTCCGCTTCGGTGCATTCGTCGGCAAAAATGATCTGCAACAAAAAGTCCGATTAAGAATGTGAACACATATGCAATATTCCGCCAAAATTTTAATAAATACCTCGTCGCACGCTGCACATCTGGGTTTTAGACTTTCGGCGTGGTGTCGGCCGCAATACAATTTTCCATTTTTGTAGAAATATATGAGATCGACGAGTAACTCTCCACACACGCAACAAACGAAGCATGCCGGGTGCCAAAAAGTATTCGGTCCCGATCTAGAGGCGAACACTCCAATGTCACCGGGTGCGCAACTCTCCCTACACTGAAACAATAACCAAGTTAGTGTTATTTGTAGCATCGGAATCTCCTATCGAATTATACAAGAGGGGAGTCACCGATCACCGACAACGAGTACCCTCCAACCACTCCAACGGATAACGGCTCTGTTGTCGACGTTAAAGGATGGTGGGGTCAACAGTACCCTAATGGCACTAAACATTGATTGTCTCTTGGGGTCATTGGAACGTGAAATTGGTCGACGCTTCCATCCACATCTTTGATGTAACCGGAGCTGTCCTCCTATCGGTTACTTTTATTTGCTCAATTAGATAGCAACCATACTTTTTACTCGGATGCGAAATGTATAGAATTCAAGAAAAGTGAATTCCACCCTTGTAACATTCGACTTTTATCTAACGTAATTAATTATTTTCAAAAGTTTATCAATAGAAATGGAACATGAATCATCATTGGTGGGTTCTCGGCGAGTCGGGCGTCGACACGGCGCATTATATTTTTTTATGTATTTTTTTCTTGTTGTAAGATCGATATTAAATTAATTGAATCTAAGGATGCTAAATAACTATTTAAATTACTCCCGGGATAATTAAATATCCCACTAAGGCAAAGGGTTCAGAAATAAAATACATTCCACTCCCTTTCGGATGATGCTTTCCATTACCCTTCTTTTTTTTTTACATATTCCGGTACCGAAATGGTGGCTGGCGATAGATAAAATGCAAATTCGACTAGTGAGGAAGGAAAAAAAAAAGTGGTTCCTAACGGCACGATTCCCATAACGTCATGTAACTGAATTAATGAGCGGGAACAACAGTTTGGGATTCAAACACCGACCACTTCCTCCGCTAATGAACTTGAATAAATAAAGTAAGGCCCGCCTCTGGTGGCCAGTAAAGAAAACACAAAACTCGAATGGAGGTAATTACCTAAGATGGAAAAGGCAAAGAAAATATCCCGAGCGAGTATTTATAGTGAAGAATTATATCCAATTGTCTCGAAAGAAAATAAATATGACGCATAAGGGCACAGTCGAGAAAATTTTATGCATAAAAATTGATTATTATTATTTTTGTGTTTAGTTTTTTCTTCGAGAAGTCGATATTTATTATTTACATTCGGCTTCATTACGTACAGCATATAAATAAGAGGGCATTTTTTAACTTTATCGATTTTGTGAGCTAAGAAAAAAATTGTGGGCTTTTCGCCACATCGTTATTAACTCTGACAAATAAACTAAACACGTTTGTCATCGATACACGATTAATTCCAGCGAGGAAAACCTTATTTATTCATTTATATCGGGCGCCGAGTCTCATACTCCCGCTCTTCCTCAACATAAAGCTAAAAGCGGCACTCATAATTGTAAAGATTCTTAATAATATTAGCGAAAAGACGTAAAATTATGCATCTCCGCTATCACAACGCGTCAATAACAGCCGAAAATTATTAATGGATAACTCATTTAAGGCTGGCAACATCGTAAAAATGACAAATGACAATACTTTTAGGTTAAAAAATTTACTATTGATAATACTTACGTTTTCGCAAGTAGTAGCGGCTAGAGAAGAAGCGTTAAGCTGCCTGACGGTTCCTCTTCCTAGAGCTTCCCTTTTCCTTTGAGCGGAAAACAAACGAAGTTCTTTCTTCTCTTCTTCGCTTAAACTATTACAATATCGAACTTCGTTATCGTGTGGAGGTAACTGATGCAGAAGCTGTTTAATACGATACTTTTCACCTACGCTATTGACATAAGGTACTTTATCTTCGGGAAGTGCCGAGAAATAAAGATGAACCTGTAAAAAAAACAAAACAAACTTGTGAATTTAAGAAACGGAATTACAGATCTTTATAAAGTATATAAATTCAACTGTAGCGACTTTAAATGCATAAATTTACATCGTATTAGCATCTGCTGGGAATAAAGATTTTTAGCTGGATACACGCAAACTTGATCAAAAAGCAATATTTAATTAAGTATTAATAAGTTTCTAGAAAAAGTAATTACTGCAAACTTTTTCCATTTGGAAAAACCTCCTGATCTCTACAGTAATATATCATTTGTTGACAGCCCGAGGACCCCGATGTCAGTCGTATCTGTTATGTAACCAATAACAATCACGATAATCTATCATCACAAAGCTATATCCGAACCTAACCTGGAAATATTGTAGCAGACATTCTATACTGATATATATTTTTCTTTCTTATTTTTTCTTCCAATTGGAGACAATAGGAAGGACGCAAATATCGGAAGACATTTAATCTAGGACGGCGCCAACAGGGATGTGGTTGCTATGGGAACGGGGGTCGGATGCGTTAAACTTTCGGAAATGACCGCACCAGACGGCGCCACTCGTCTACGATGGAAGCGGCGACGCGTCGAGAGTTTGTTTAATGCAAATGGGCATTACAAAAATATTCTTTTTATGAAGAATCAATTCCGAATTTGTTCGAGGTTTACGAGTAATTTGTATTTTTAAAAGGAAAAAAAAAGAGTAATTATCTCGTAAAGCTCGTCCTGATAAAGGAATTAGCAATAAAAGTGTTCAGCTTAAATGTAGTTCTCTCTCTCTCTCTCTCATTCGTTTGATTAATATCCATGTAAGTTTTCTTGTTGCAGACCGCGTGACAAATGATCCAACAAACAAACACTAAATAAAATTGGAGAGCGTAGGACTAAAACACCTCCAGGCTACTCTTCTCCTTTTTTAAGGCCATTTGTTTTCTGCCGATGACGTCATAGCGGAATCGCTTGACATTCTTAAACATCTGACCAGTTTGAGCCAATTAAAAGCATAAATATGATACTACGTCACCGTCACGCAACCGTTGTTCTTCAGCTGGTAATGGCTACTTGATCAATTTCTTCGTAATTTCATTTCGAAATCAATTTCTGCACTTGAAGCATACTTGAAGATGTCAGATTCTTTACTCGCTTATTCTCCGACTATCAGATTATCTGGCGCCATTAGATTTGATGCGTATTTTACAATATAATTCTTTGTAAGGACGTTGAAAAAATTTAAACGTGAGTTGCTCTGAAAAGCTAAATTGTGGGGATGAGGTTAGTTCGAGAGTTGGGCTCTAGCCATCTACTGCGATTCCGCTTAATTAAGTGTGAAATGAGTAGGTAATGAAAACAAATGGGCTACACTACGATGATTCTATTGTATTCTCTTGTATACTACAAACTAGTGACAACCGTCATTTAATTCATGGTTTTCTGCTCCGAAAGTCACATTCAGATAAACGATTGAGTCACAATAAGTAATATACAGAGAAACACTAAGGTTTCCGAGTTTATATAGTCGTGTTTAATCGAGTTAAGTCGCAAAACTTATCCTCCGAATAAAAAATGAGTAGATGGATTTTGATGAAGCAACGCTGAAACAAAAACTTTTGCCTTCGGTAGACTTGGTGTGCACGAATGAAGATCATTACAATTAACATGATAAATCGTTTTAAAGAAAGTATAAAATCGAGATCGTCATCTTCATTAATTTTCCTTAATCACAGTTTATAGAAAATGGACGAATCGGTTATAGGAATCTCGTTAATTTGTTGTAAATGGTTGCGATTTCGGATTAAGGATCCAAATAAATGTACTTTCCGATAAGCGTGGGAGAGAAAGGAGCTTAAAGATTTGGCACTCCTCCCATTCTCATGTCAAGATAGAAAATAACCGGGTTGTTAGAAACGACTAGGTTTATTGTTCTCAATATTTGCATATCCAATCCGAAGAAAGGGTTTTTAAAGACAGCTCAATCTTTCAAAAAAGAATCACCTCTCTCTTTCTCTTTTTTAACCTCAGAAGCGCAGTCTTTGAAGGGCCTCTGGTCCTTTATTTAGGCCACCTGTTGATAGTGCCTTTCGTATGATAATGAGCGTCGGACGCATAGACAATGTACGCTTTCGGCGTCGTTGTTATTCCGAGCCAGTTCTTAATAGTTGCCATAAGCAATGGCACAAGGCGACGATCCGCATACCAATGTCTACAATTACAGACGATGGACCCTTTCAGTTAAACCTCAAAGCGAGAAAACTAAATCCGTTAATTACAAGCTAGGAGGGGCGAAAAGTGTCGGATCGATGGTAAATCACGATTTGGCCATTTTGCAAGTGATTCTAGCACGTTAAATAGACAACGATTTATGAATCTTCTATCGTTTCGTGCGGCCGAAGAATCTAATAAGGATAAATAACTAGATTAAACTTAAGCGATTTGTTGATTTTACTTTCGAATAAATTAATTTGCTTGCTTGTTTTCCAGAAAATCGATATATAACTACAAAACTGTAATAAATAAAGTAAGCAGGAACCACACTCAACAGGAACCATAGATCAAGAGAGGTAACGCTTTGCTCGGATGATTCGGTAAAATGTCCAATCACAATCGTGCCAGATAAGACCGCTTTCCTGCTCTAACACCGCTCACTTTCCATTTCTATTGTCTGTCAACAGGAATTTCCGTTTCAAACTGTTCCAGGGATATGTCTTCTGCCGGAAATTCCACAGGAGCACGGATGGCGCGTCACGTTCCGATAAGACCTTTCTTTGATTCCTTTAGAAATTTCGATTCTAAATTTTAGAATAGAAGTAAAGAAAACTTAAACCATTGTCAGATCTTTTCTTGAAGTTTTATTTCTGAAGTTCCGAGTTTTCCATTCCCGTCTGTCACGTTTTATTCACAAGTTTTCGAAGAAATCTCCTCTCACATACTCCAAGATTTCGACAAAGAACTTTAAATCTCGTTCGCCTCGATCCGTCGGGAAAATTAATCTCACTCTCTAATCTCCTCCTAATCTTAACAATATTTTTTTTTTAAAGAATTCCATCAGTTCTGACATTTTTCTATTTTGCTAAAGCTTCTAATCATTACTGTAAAGCGCCTTTTCGTAATTATACCATCCTCAATTTTTCGCGTTATATCCGAGACTAATCTAAATAAATTCGTGTCGTTCTTCGATATCTTCTCCTCCAACATACAAAATCCTATCATTAAGTACGTCATTTATTCGAATTAATTCGTATACTTTTTCCTTTTCTTTCTCTTCTGGGGAAGTGGATTCTTCTTGTCGAGTTCGATAAATAACAAATGGACTTACGGTGCGTCGTTACAGTTTAATAGTGTGGTCCCATTCGACTCTTAACACGGTGTCTAACATGGACCAATGTCCAGCTGGCGACAAATGCCCGGTCCAACTGGCAAACTCGGCCTTCTTTTCGATGATATATGGCCGTGCAGAGCAATCAAATAAATTGGCAACCAGCTGGTAAAATCTCTCCTAGTTCGCCTAACGACGGCAAGCCACTTTCTCTTTACCAATAAATCGTAGCGGGGGAGAAGATACATACCACACTTTCAATCATCTCCAATGACTTTTTCCCCCTAAATAACTTTTGCTAATTTTTAAATCCGGATTCTTATAAAATTGGTGTATTCTGCAGTAAATCTAAGAGGATGGATGGTGACTTTATTCATTATGTTTTCAATTCGGAAATTTGCTTATTTCTTGTATACGGCGTCGCAATTTAGTTCGACGTCTTAAAAATATTTCTTACAAAATGAATAATTCTACTGCATTTCTTGTGTATTAAGAAAGAAATTTTTTTATATAGTAGGCTATATAATATATAATACGACTTTTTAATGCTGTGTTTTTAATACACTGTACGAGATTAACTGACTTTTGGGCCACCCTGTGTAATTCATATAAATGCTAACCTGAAGTTTTATACAAACGCTGATATTGTTTTTTCAACAACAGAAGTAAAATACAGTAAGATACAAAAATTTTTTATGAGAAACGGAAAAGTATAACACCCGATAAAGTAAAATAATTAATATTTGAAACGATAGAAGAGAAGATCTGAATATTATATTTATCTAAAAAAAATATAATATGAGTGATGAAATCATATTCCGCGCTTCACTTGACATAGATGCATGTTTTCGTTATGAAAATTTAAAGTGTTGAGTATGACTTTATCAATTTTTTACATACGATAAGAAACGTTTTTTTTACATTTTTATTCATTCAACAATTTCTTGCCTTTAGATTTTAAATAAAAATTAGCGTAATTTTTATTAACAAGCTAAATTGTTGAATGAATAAAAGTGTAAAAGACATTTTTTACAAGTGATATCAACGACAAGAATTTAAATTATACGAAAGGGAATTTCTCATTTGTTATTTAAATTGGTTGTGTAAAGAATGATCTTGGGTTCAATTATTGTTTTTCTGGTAAATTTTACTGTTCTTCTCGAGTTATAATTTACTTAGTACTAAAAAAAAATCAGCTATTAATTTGTAATTTTTTAATGAAATTTATTCTTCTTTATCGTCTCTTAGTTCGTAAGAAAAAGAATCCAAGAGTGCATTCTTGTCATTTTTTTCAATCGTTACCTTTGGTTCAGGCACTGCTAAACTTTCATTAACAGTTTTTTCACCCTTTTCTATCGTATATTGAATAAATTATATAAGTATATAAAGATTACAGAATCAATCTAGAAGAGAGAATTTAAAGTTTTACAAATGCTTAACGTCCGATCATTGAGAACAGCAATAACAATGAAAACTAAATGAGAAGCCATTTCGGTTTTTCTAGAATTTGTCATAAAATGATTTTATAGAAGAAAATGTTTCATAACGTAAGACAACATTTCTGTATTGTCAATACTCTTGAGTTTTATATTAAAATAATAATGTTAAAAAATTATTTACCAATTAGAAATTTTAAAAACAACGTTATTATCTAATACGATTTTAGAAAAAAAAAAAAAAAAACATGA